GTTCGAATGCCCCGACGATGACTTACTTAGATTGCTTCCTACAGTGGAGCATGCTTCGCCTAACTGGCCCCTAACTGGCGCGGCCCTTAACTGGCTCAGCCCGCGGGGGCAGTCCGCCGACGACGGCCGACCTGCGGCGGCTGCGCTTTCGGAACGTGCTGAGCGCTCCTTGGAAGGAAAGACAGCTCGACCCCGCGATGCCTGGCCAACTCAAGGTCGGGCACCCGAATCACCAGATCTAGTGGGAGAGCATCGCGCCCTTCCACGATAGGGTGTATCTGAACAACATGGTTGGCCCCTGACAGAACCTTAATCTACAAGCATAAGCCCAAACTGGCTGAGATTGCCAAGACCATTGTTTTCTGGCACAACGCAGGCGCGCCAGGGACGGAATGGACAATGTCGTTCGATCATTATTGGGTTAAACCAAGAAGTAGCTCCCGATCACGGGGCCGTCGTTGCCCACCTCCATTCAGATGAAAACTGTTGCCCGCTTGAGGGCGAGAATTCTCAGAGGCAGGTCGCGAACGACGCAGCCGCCCATGCGCGGATGATGGGCGATATGTCTGCGCGAAATCGCGCAGTCTTCGCTTGGGATTGCGCTTCTGCCCGCGATGTAACGCAGACGCCTCGACGATTCAAAAAGCGCGCCTCGAGCCCCGTCTGGCTGCAGCGACCGATCGCTGCCTTTGCAGGCGGGGCCTCGCGAGGCAAATGCACTCAGGCAATGGGAGTCTATCGCCCGCGGACAGGCGCAGTCTGCAGGAGAATTCCTCGATGGCGGCTGTCCCCAACTTGAAAGAGCACGATCAGCATGAGGCAATGGGCAATGGATAAACAGAAAGGACCGAAGGGTCGCGCGATCGGGGGCGGGCATTATTTACCTCGCAGAGGAAACCGGGCCCGCTCCATCCTGGAAGGCCGAGAATGCAAACGACAAACCACCAATTCGTCATGAACCATGTGTTCGATATTTGTAACCATCCGTAAAGAGGTTCATAACATACAAGTGGGCGAAAGATGGTATGAAGGCTGGGCAATGGTGGCTGGCTCTCTGGCAACGCATTGACCAGGCCGCCACGCCGATGTCGCGCCCGCCAATATTCGCATGTTCTTGACCAGAAGTTGATGATGATCTGTTTGTTCTTAGGGGAAGATGGGATACTTGGGAAGAGCAGTTGGTAGCATATGGAATTGTTCCACCCATTGCTGCTTGGCTGGCGAGCAACTACTTATGGGCGGACCGAAAGAAGGGCGCGGACAAGGCTCAGCCTTCGTTCGCCGACAATCAGCCAGACTTGTTTAATCGCCCGGTCGCGGACGTGAGAGGATCCGGAGATCGCCCACATCGCGCATCAAGGTCAATCGCGAGGAGGTCAAGAAGTCGCGGCGAGCCCTGATCTTGATCGCACAATTTCTCATGGTGGAAATATACCTCCGACGATGCCGGACCCACAGGATGTTCAACATTCTGATGATGTTGTATTCGTTGAAGTACACAGCGACGGAAATGGCGACAGTGACTTATTCCCTTTTGATCTCACGCATACGGAGACGATACTCGCCGCATATCATCAAGTAGTGGAGAACCTTGGGGGGGACATACATGTTGAAACCCGCATTCAAAAGTCCGCGAACTTGCCCGCTGATCCCACCGCAGCGATTACCATTAATACTTCTGCGTGCGTCGTAAAATGAAAATCGCGCGCCAATGCGCGATGGAATGCCTGAAAGAAGGGAAGAACGCTGGTGATGCTATTGTCTCACAGCACATGGGAAATGTCTTTGAAGATTTGTAGAACAAGGAGATCGCCAGCCAACTAGTTGATATTAGGTTATTCAGGATCATGAACATCGCCCGGGAACGCATTGCAGACTTCATTGCCGGACAACGGTCTGTGGCTTTCCAATATGAGTCTGGTAACTTGGAGCAGGCGCCATTTGGGCCGGGCCATCTGATGATGATTCAGTGTACCAAACAGAGGAAGATAGACTCCTTTGCACTATATGCAAAAATAAGAGAGGCGCCAGAAGCTCAGATTTGGTGGAGCTGTACATGAGGGATTTGGGGTTCAACCTTAAATCCCAGATACGAAAGGCGTCACTCTCGATGCAGGCCTGCACTGCCGAGTTCGAAGGCTGGGGCGACTGGAATGAAACGAGGCACGGCGATCGCGCCGAGTGCGGGTCGCATTGATCGCCGAGCACGATCAGGGCGCCGCCACGGTTGCACTGGACATTTTACAAACCTTCGAACAGCATGGAGGGCCCGATGCCTGTTCAGCCTATGTCGGAGCGCAGACAGACGTGGACATGCGGGTCGCCGTTGTCGCTGCTGAGGTCCAATCGCGGATTGAACTTCAGGTCCAGCAGACGACTGGCACTGCTAGTGCAGAGCCGGCAGTGCAAATTGGCGGGGGCCACGCTGGCCCCATGTACGGAGCTGCGGGTGCCATGGAGGACGCTGCCAGCTCAGCCGGCAGCGTCGCGCATGCTGGGCGGGGAGACGCAATGGATTCAGATCCCGCAGCTAGCGAGGCCACCGACACAGTCGGTGACCAATCGACTGCTTTTCGACCTGCCGCTGTGCTGGTGCTCCGTGATTCGTCGCCTGAGCAGCCCTCGCGGCGCGCCGCTCTGCCTGCGCCGCCGACTGCGCCGGGGGGCCGGGGCCGCCAATCCCGCGCGCCTGCGGGCGCGACGCCGCATTCTGCTCCCCCTGCCGCGACGAGACCATGCACCTGGGCTGATTATGGATATGGAGGGTGATGAAATGTGGTCGGAGAGTCGCGCGCGTTCGTCATTCGCCGATGGAGCCCCTGGTCAACGCCGCCGAGCCGTCCTGGAGGCCCGCCGGACTCGGGGCGTTCCCGCTGCAGGCGGCCGGGACATCGACAGGCACCTTCCCGCCAAGAATGGGGGCCAATTGGTTCGGAATGCTGCTGAGCAGAAACGGCCGCGCTGGCGCGCTAACGAATGCGATGGGCACTTCAAGCGTGGATATATGAAAAGAAGAATTCGATGCTGGCCCAGCCAGAACCGCATTGCACGCAGAGAAATATCTGGACAACGATTCAGTTCCGGAACGTTAGCAATCACTTTTTGACGCCGTGCGCTGTCTGTTTCGGCCCTCCTCGCAGGAGCTCCAACGGTCGTATTGGCACCCTGCCTTCGGCACCGTAAAATATTGTTGGGGTCTGCGCCAGGGGGGCCGAAGCGCCTTGGGGGCGCGAGGAACCGGTGGAACTTCGAGGGAGGCCGACATGTTAGGCCTGCGCATCCCGACGTTATGGGGAGTTGCTTAATTTCTTTATTTGCTGCCTCTGCGCCGCCGCCGCCTTTCGCTGCCTCGCGATATAGCACCGCAGCTGCATCTGGAGCCGAGGTGCTTGACCAGCGCCGCGGGCTGGCCCGGTATGAGTGAAAAGCGGAGCGCTTGGTGTCGTCGTCGCGTCGTTGCTCCTCCACCCGCGCTCACGCATCCGATATGCATCAGCGTATTTGATGACTACAGCCATGTCGGTACGACCCGTCCAGAGCAGTAATGAGATGACAATAACATCATATTTGCATCCCGTCGTTGCCGGGGATCTTGGTCCTTTGCCAAATATCGTATTGAGATATGTGCGCGTTCGATTGCGTAGTTGTTCACATGTGGTGATCGTGTTGGGATGGCGTGCGTGCCCATCCGCTCACTGACGTGACAGTGGCTCTGGCCGGGCTAGAACCCGCGCGAAGCGCGCGCGAGGTTCTAGCAAACATATGGCGGAGCAGAGTGCGTACAACGTCTGTGTTTTAAGCCGAATGCCCACGCGTCATCGAGGGGCGCCGCCCACACGAGAGCGTAGAAATGACGGAACGAATACTCAACATCCACAGGTTACGAGCCAAAGCAACACCCATATCTGGTGCAGACGTGACAACTGTTGAGAGGAAGGGGGGACCGCAACGCCGTCGGGTGCACTGGCCAAATTGAGGACGAGTGCGTGGCTAGTCTGCTCTAGCGTCAGAGGGGGCAGCTTGAGGGTGCCACGTTGAATTCCGCCCGAGACCTGGTCGCCGCACGTGGGCAAGACTGCAGACCCCGACTATCGCCAGACGCAGAGCCGGCACGGTACACGGAGTGGACGCTGTTGGAGGCATATTGTAGTCTACGGCTTGCACGTGCAACTAAGGTAAAGGAGCCAGTGGCAATCAATGTCCGACAGCCGCCACACTGGAAGGCACTTCGTGTACACGACCGCTACATAGTTTGACGTAGGACAGAACGCGCTCCATGAGTTGAAATGGACGGGTGTCGAATCAGCCAGACGGCGCTTTCGGGGCCCATGTCCAGCAACGGCAGTGGAACATGTCCATCCTCGCGAAAACGCTCGTAGGTCGTCGATCGGTTCTGACCGAAAAGCACAAGTCCAGCAGGACGAGGGAGACGAGAAAGACCCGCCGCTGACCAGAGGCTGGGGCGTGAGGCGCGGAGGCTGGCAACGATACTGGCAGCGCCCAAAGCCAGACCATGGCAGACCGCACGCAAAGGTTGCTGTAGGATGCGACACATCCCAACCAGACGCCCTATATACACACACACACACACACACACGTTGCACACAGCCTCCTAGATTGCGATGCGACCATCCCTCGAGAAGTGTGCGGCGTATTTATGGGACTAGATACGTTCGCGCAACAGTTGGGCACCCGCTGCAATAGCTTTTGAGGCCAAGGCTTACCACTGCTGGATGAGCCAGCCCGAAACAGACTGTTCATAAAACAACAGATTGCAAGATGTCATGTGCTGCTTCGGTTTTGTTCCACTTCCTGTGCTTCCATTGTCCGTTTTTCTCCCCTCAGAAAGGCCCATGGCGTCCCAACGTTTGTGCTCGAACGTGCACTCTGGTTGTCAATTCCGTCGGTTATGCAGGTCGGAGCCTCAATTTGGAGGGGTTCGGAACCTGTCGGGATCCCCGTCGAAGTCATGCTCTTGTCACGCCGCCGCGCCTCGGGAGGAGCACCAGTTCTGGTCGAACAGCAGGGAGGAGAGCTGGTGGGACACGGAGCCTTCGCGTTCCTTCCTCTCCTCGCGTGGCCTCGCGCACGGGGCACGAGGAGGCGGCGGAGGAGGAGGAGGGATGAGGTGGCGAAGGGAGAGGAGGGGTGAGAGAGGCGCGGGATGGAGGAGGAAGGACAGATGAAGGAGGGCGGAGGAGGAAGAGGGGAAGAGGTATGAGGGAGGGAAGAGGGAGGGAGGAAGGAGGGAGGAGGAGGCGAAAGGGGGACAGATGAGGAGGAGGAGGAGGGCGGACAAGGGAGGGAAGGTGCGCCACCTGAGGATGGGGCCAAGGGGGAGCAGGGCAGGCTGGAGGCGCAGTGCGGGAGCCGTGGCGCGGGAGCGCCGGGCGTGTCTCCGATAGTTCTCCCTCCGTCCTGCTACAGCCGCCGCTCCGGCACGCAGGAGCGACAGGCGGCCAGCGGGCCAGGGGCGCACGGCCTCCCGCGGGGCACCGCGCGGCCGGCGTGCGGTGGGGCGGCCCGTGGGCCAATTGGGCACTGCGGGTGCTGGGGCTCGACCATACGTTTGCCCACAGCCTGGCATCGCTCGGACGTGTGCATTTTTCCTCAGCGAGGACCATCGAGGTGACCATCCTGGACCATCGAGCCAAAAAAACGCGCACGAAGCCGGTGAATGCACGGGAAATGGACGTCCGAGCGACGGCAAGACAGTCGTCAGGATGCAGAAGAGATCATCAAGAGCTGCGCGAACATGAACCTCGTCAGTGTTGCCGGCACTCAATCCTCTCATCGTCGAGCGGACGAGGCGTTTGCACGGTAGGCAATCGTTTGGCAATGGTGTTGGAGGAAGAGGCGGGGGCAGAACAGTTCATTATCAAACCGACGGGTTACGCCATCATCTTGGGATCGAAGTTCAAAGAACAACACATTCGACAAGTGTGGGTTAGCCCACAGGAGACGTGGGGACGAGTTCTGGCAGCACGTATACGCAGGGCCCGCTGGATGTGGCACCGATATTTTTGTACTTGCCGCCACAACCAAGATACGTGTCAGCGGTCCCCCCTTTACAAGGCGACAGTCGAGAATACTGGCCAGTGGTACGAGCGTGTCTTTCTACGGAAGAGGAGGAGGACGAGGAGGAGGACGAGGACGAGGACGAGGAGGAGGAGGGAGGAGGAGGGAGGAGGAATAGGAAGAGGACGCGGAGGGGGAGGAGGAGGAGGATGAGGGAGACGTTGAAGCTTGCAATGATATTCGGATCGGGTCCTGGCAAGCCCTGCGCCCGTACCAGGACGTAGGAAGTTGGAGCGCCGGGGCGGACTGGCCCCCCTGGGACCCTTGATGTCATCTCTATCTGTTGTTGTCTTTCTCCTTGGAACAGGCTGCCGCAAAGAATTGCCTCCAACTGCGAACGAGGAGGAGGAGGTACGCTGCAGGTTTTGCACATGGGGTCCGCTCAGCGAAAAAAAGGAGGAGAACAAGGAGGAGGGGATGATGATGATGATGATGATGATGATGATGATGATGATGATGATGATGATGATGATGACGATGACGATGACGATGACGATGACGATGACGATGACGATGACGATGACGATGACGATAGCGAGGATGATGATTATGATTAGGATGATGATGATGATGATGATGATGATGATGATGATGATGATGATGATGATGATGATGATGATGATGATGATGATGATGATGATGTGGAGGAGGAGGAGGAGGAGGAGAAGGATGAAGAAAAGGAGGACCAGTGTAAACCCAAGAGCCATCAACGAGGTCGGAATACACCCTCCCTCCAAGCTCCCTTTTCATAGGGCCCCTACAACAGTTCATTTCCATTTAAGGATCTGCCTCGTTGGAGGACAACCGTTTGAAGACCCGGAAGCATGCCAAAACATTGTTCTCGGGATTCCAACGCCACGGATCAACCTGATTGTTGCGTCTTGACGATCCTGGATCGTGCCAGAACGCCATATTTGGGATTTCGACACCGCGAATCAACGTAACTGTTGCACCCGCAAAATCCAGAATCCGTCCAAAACACCATTTCTGGTACGTTGATCGTGGGAATCCATGAAACTCACGCACATTTTATAAACGAATGTGCGCGGCGCGAAGGTGAGAGCCACATTGTGAAAAGGAACCGCCCTCAATCCGTGAAACTCTTGCAAACTGTTAGAGCGAATGTGGGATGCGCTAAGGCGAGAGCCACATTTTGAAAACGGGTTATTCTCAATCCGTGAAGCTCTTGCAAATGTTTAAAGCGAATGTGCGCGGCGCTAAGGCGATAGCCACATGTTGAAAACCACCCGCCCTCCATTTGTGAAACTGTTGCCAGCGTTTAAGCTTCAGAGTCATAAATGTAGAGGAGGTCTCAAGCGAAACGCCCGGCCCGCCCTAAAATTGGCCCCGGGGGGCGACAGGGAGAAGTTATTCATAAGGAAAAGGAATGGAGGCATAGGAGAAGAGGAGGAGCCAGACATCCGACGATACAATCGAAACCGATGGTAAGGATGGGTAACCTTCCCAAGGATACCCTTATATCCGTTCCTCTTGGGTCCACCCACGACTACCTTCGATGGCCCGCCGCGCTCGAAAAAGCTTCAGCACGGGCGTCCAAGGGGTTTGCATCCTTATCGCGCATCTTTCTTTCACGGCACCCTGATAAATCGGCGTTTGCTAGACGGCCCTGGGCGGTTACGAAACAGCCCTGCTCTGTTCCATCCCTTCCTCGGGTGCGCTTGCGAAAGGGCCTGGCTCGTCGGGGTGCTTATCAGGGGAGTGGGACTTACTGCCCTCTGCAGCTACAGTCGGCCTTGATCAGTAGGTCGACCCTGCCAAGTCCAGGGTACCCCCGTGTCCTGTATTTCGAGACCCGTGCCCTCTATGACGGGGCGCTCGCGTACATGTACCGGGGTCCTTGCGAATTTGTTTCGCAAATATTCTTGGGAATCTTTTTCAAATTAAAATCCGACCCTCCATCCCTCCAAACTCCGCCGCAGGCGCCCAGAATAATAATAATTTCAAATTGCGGCAGCACCCCCAAATTGGAAGCATACCCCCTGGATTTGCCCAGGACCCCCCAGGAATCTTAGGGGCCCTGACGGATTCTGATGGATTCTGCTGGTTTCTGGAGCCCCGTCCTGGAGGATTCCTCCCTGGACGCCCTCTTGGAGCCGTGTCGGGCCGTTTTGGGAAGCCGCTTGGGCCGTCTCGAGGCCATCTTAGGTCGTCTTGCGTCTTGGGCCGTTTTGAATCGGTCTTGGGCAATCTTGGCGGCCCTGGTGGCCTGTTTGGGCCAGGTGGCAGTCATCTTGGATTCCTCGGAGGGCGCCAGGGGCATGACTCGGCGCCGCATTTTGGACACCATCTGGTATCTGGAATCCAGATGGCTGCCACCTTGGATTCCTCGGAGGGTGCCGGGCCATGTCTCGGACATGGCCCGGCACCGTTCGGCGCCGCATGTCCGTACATGTTTCGGTGGCAGTCATCTTGGATTCTTCGGAGGGCGCCGTATGGAAAACGTATTGAGTGGCAACGCATCGCCTCATGACGAGGCCCAGAATGCAAGTGAAACAGTTGTTTTTTCTCAACCAGTTTTCTGGTGACCCCCCCCTTCGTGGGTCACCTGGTGTGCTTGCGCCGTATCGAAAACGCATTGAGTGGCAGTGCGCCGCCTCATGTTGAGGCCCAGAATGCAAGTGAAACAATGGGTTTCTCTCAACCAGTTTTCTGATGACCCACCCCTTCGTGGGTCACCAGGTGTGCTTGCGCCGTATGGCAAACGTATTGAGTGGCAATGCATCGCCTCATGTTGAGGCCCAGAGAGCAAGTGAAACAACTGTTTTTTTCTCAACCAGTTTTCTGGTGACCCACCCCTTCGTGGGTCACCTGGTGTGCTTGCAACGTATGGCAAATATATTGAGTGGCAGTGCATCGCCACATGACGAGGCCCAGGATGCAGGCGAAACAATTTGTTTTTCTCAACCAGTTTTCTGGTGACCCACCCCTTCGTGGGTCACCTGGTGTGCTTGCGCCGCATGGAAAACGCATTGAGTGGCAATGCATCGCCTCATGTTGAGGCCCAGAATGCAAGCGAAACAATTTGTTTTTCCAAACCAGTTTTCTGGTGACCCACCCCTTCGTGGTTCACCTGGTGCGCTTGCGCCGTATGGCAAAAATATTGAGTGGCAATGCATCGCCTCATGTTGAGGCCCAGAATGCAAGTGAAACATTTCTGGTTTTTCTTAACCAGTTTTCTGGTGACCCACCCCTTCGTGGGTCACCTGGTGTGTGTTTCGCCGTATTGGAAACGCATTGAGTGGCAATGCATCGCCTCATGTTGAAGCCCAGAATGGAAGAAAAACGATGGGTTTTTCTCAACCAGTTTTCTGGTGACCCACCCCTTCGTGGGTCACCTGACGTATTGAATGGCAGCGCATCGCCTCATGACGAGGCCCAAAATGCAAGTGAAACAGTGTATTTTTCTCAACCAGTTTTCTGGTGACCCACCCCTTCGTGGGTCACCTGGTGTGCATGCGCCGCATGGAAAACGTATTGAGTGGCAGTGCATCGCCACATGACGACGCCCAGGATGCAGGTGAAACAATTTGTTTTTCTCAACCAGTTTTCTGGTGACCCACCCCTTCGTGGGTCACCTGGTGCGCTTGCGCCGTATGGCAAACGTATTGAGTGGCAGCGCATCGCCTCATGACGAGGCCCAGAATGCAAGTGAAACAATTGTTTGTTCTCAACCAGTTTTCTGGTGACCCACCTCTTCGTGGGTCACCTGGTGTGTTTGCGCTGCATGGAAAACGCATTGAGTGGCAATGCGTCGCCTCATGCTACGGCCCAGAATGCAAGTGAAACAATTTGTTTTTCTCAACCAGTTTTCTGGTGACCCACCCCTTCGTGGGTCACCTGGTGTGCTTGCGCCGTATGGAACGTATGGGAAACGTATTAGGTGGCAGCGCGTCGCCTCATATTCATGCCCAGAATGCAAGTGAAACAGTTGTTTTTTCTCAACCAGTTGCTGGTGACCCACCCCTTCGTGGGTCACCTGGTGTGCTTGCGCCGTATGGCAAACGTATTGAGTGGCAATGCCTCGCCTCATGTTGAGGCCCAGAATGCAAGTGAAACAGTTGGTTTTTCTCAACCAGTTTTCTGGTGACCCACCCCTTCGTGGGTCACCTGGTGTGCTTGCGCCGCATGGAAAACGTATTGAGTGGCAGTGCTTCGTCTCATGTTGAGGCTCAGAATGCAAGTGAAACAATTGGTTTTTCTCAACCAGTTTTCTGGTGACCCACCCCTTCGTGGGTCACTTGGTGTGCTTGCGCCGCATGGAAAACGTATTAGGTGGCAATGCATCGCCTCATGTTGAGACCCGGACTGCAAGTGACATATTTGGTTTTTCTCAACCAGTTTTTTGGTGACCCACCCCTTCGTGGGTCACTTTGTGTGCTTGCGCCGTATGGAAAACGCACTGAGTGGCAATGCGTCGCCTCATGTTGAGGCCCAGAATGCAAGTGAAACGATGGGTTTTTCTCAACTAGTTTTCTGGTGACCCACCCCTTCGTGGGTCACCTGGTGCGCTTGCGCCGTATCGAAAACGCATTGAGTGGCACCGCCTCGCCTCATGTTGAGGCCCAGAACGCAAGAGAAACAATATGTTTTTCTCAACCAGTTTTCTGGTGACCCACCCCTTTCGTGGGTCACTTGGTGTGCTTGCGCCGCATTGGAAACGTATTGAGTGGCAGTGCATCGCCTCATGTTGAGGCCCAGAGTGCAAGTGAAACAGTTGGTTTTCTCAACCAGTTTTCTGGTGACCCACCCCTTCGTGGGTCACCTGGTGTGCTTGCGCCGTATGGCGAACATCTTGAGTGGCAGTGCATCGCCTCATGTTGAGGCCCAGAGAGCAAGTGAAACAATTTGTTTTTCTCAACTAGTTTTCTGGTGACCCACCTCTTCGTGGGCCCCCTGGTGTGCTTGCGCCGTATGGAAAACGTATTGAGTGGCAATGCATCGCCTCATGTTGAGGCCCAGAATGCAAGTGAAGCAATTGGTTATCCTCAACCAGTTGTCTGGTGACCCACCCCTTCGTGGGTCACCTGGTGTGCTTGCGCCGTATGGAAAACGTGTTGAGTGGCAATGCGTCGCCTCATGTTGAGGCCCAGAATGCAATTGGAACATTTTGTTTTTATCAACCAGTTCTCTGGTGACCCACCTCTTCGTGGGTCACCTGGTGTGTTTGCGCTGCATGGAAAACGCATTGAGTGGCAATGCGTCGCCTCATGTTGAGGCCCAGAATGCAAGTGGGTTTTTTTCTCAACCAGTTCTCTGGTGACCCACCCCTTTCGTGGGTCACCCGGTGTGCTTACGCCGTATGGGAAACGTATTGAGTGGCAGTGCGTCGCCTCATGTTGAGGCCCAGAACGCAAGTGAAACCATTTGTTTTTCTCAACCACTTGTCTGGTGACCCACCCCTCCGTGGGTCACCTGGTGTGCTCGCGCCGTAGCGAAAACGCATTGAGTGGCAGTGCGTCGCCTCATGTTGAGGCCCATAATGCAAGAGAAACAGTTTGTTTTTTTCGACCAATTTTCTAGTGACCCACCCTTCCGTGGGTCACCCGGTGGGCTTGCGCCGTATGGCAAACGTATTGAGTGGCAATGCCTCGCCTCATGTTGAGGCCCAGAATGCAAGTGAAACAGCTGTTTGTTCTCAACCAGCTGTCTTGTGACCCACCCCTTCGTGGGTCACCTGGTGTGCTTGCGCCGTATGGCAAACATACAGAGTGGCAGTGCGTCGCCTCATGACGAGGCCCAGGATGCAGGTGAAACAATTTGTTTTTCCCAACAAGTTCTCTGGTGACCCACCCCTTCGTGGGTCACCTGGTGTGCTTGCGCCGTATGGAAAACGCATTGAGTGGCAGTGCGTCGCCTCATGTCGAAGCCCAGAGCGCAAGTGAAACAAATTGTTTTTCTCAGCCAGTTGTCTGGTGGCCCACCCCTTGGTGGGTCACCCGGCTTGCTTGCGCCGTATGGAAAACGTATTGAGTGGCAGTGCATCGCCTCATGTTGAGGCCCAGAATGCAAGTGAAACAATTGGTTTTTCTCAACCAGTTTTCTGGCGACCCACCCCTTCGTGGGTCATCTGGTGTGCTTGCGCCGTATGGAAAACGCATTCAGTGGCAATGCCCAGGACGCAAGTGAAACAATGGGTTTTTCTCAACCAGTTTTCTGGTGACCCACCCTTTTCGTGGGTCACCTGGTGTGCTTGCGCCGCATGGAAAACGTGTTGAGTGGCAATGCGTCGCCTCATGTTGAGGCCCAGAGTGCAAGTGAAACAGTTGGTTTTCTCAGTCAGTTTTCTGGTGACCCACCCCTTCGTGGGTCACCTGGTGTGCTTGCGCCGTATGGAAAACGCATTGAGTGGCAGTGCGTCGCCTCATGTTGAAGCCCAGAATGCAAGTGAAACAGTTGTTTTTCTCAACCAGTTTCCTGGTGACCCACCCCTTCGTGGGTCACCTGATGTGCTTGCGCCGTATCGAAAACGCATTGAGTGGCAGTGCGTCGCCTCGTGTTGAGGCCCAGAATGCAGGTGAAACCATTTGTTTTTCTCAACCAGTTTTCTGGCGACCCACCCCTTCGTGGGTCACCAGGTGTGCTTGCGCCGTACGGCAAACGTATCGAGTGGCAATGTTTCGCCTCATGTTGAGGCCCAGATTGCAAGTGAGACCATTGGTTTTTCCCAACCAGTTCTCTGGTGACCCACTCCTTTCGTGGGTCACCTGGTGTGCTTGCGCCGCATGGCAAACATATTGAGTGGCAGTGCGTCGCCTCATGACGAGGCCCAGGATGCAGGTGAAGCAATTTGTTTCTCTCAACCAGTGTTCTGGTGACCCACCCCTTCGTGGGTCACCTGGCGTGCATGCGCTGCATGGAAAACGTCCAAGGTGGCAGTCATCTGGATTCCTCGGAGGGCGCCGGGCCATGTCCTAGGGATTCCTGAGGTTCCCCTTGGGGTTCTTTAGGGTGCCCTAGGGATTCTTGGGGATTCACCAGGGATTCCTAAGAAACCCCGAGGGAATCCGAAAGATTCCCTGAGGACCCCGCAGGATCCCCGGAGGATTCCTGAGGATTTCCGAAGGGATTCTTTGGGAGCGCCGAGAGATTCCTCAGGATTCCCGAGGGACTCTTGAAGATTCCGCTTTGAATCCCAAGGATTCCGCAGGGATTCTCTTGGATTCCCGAGGGAGCCATAAGGATTCCCGAGGGTTTCTGGAGTCCGCGGGGATTCTTAACGACACGTGAGGGATTCCAAAGGATTCCTGAGGGATTCCTGACGATTCCCAAGGGATCCCTCAGGATCCCCTTAGGATTCTTGAGGAGCCCTTAAGGATTCCTAAGGATTCCCTAGGGATTCCTAGGGATGCCCTCGGGATTCCTTAGGATTCCCTTGGGATTCTTGTGGATGCCCTAGGGATTCCTAAGGATTCCTTAGAAATTCCTTAGGGATTCCCAAGGGATCCCCAAGGATTCCCAGAGTCTGCCCCTCGCAGGCCGCCCTTCACAGGCTTCCATAGGATTCCCCCGATAGGCTGTCCCCCACCGGCAAATTCAGGGAAACCCTCCTTGCCACCCGCCCAGCCAAGAATAATTTACGTTGCGCGCCTCAAATTCACCCTCCATGCTAAAGCAGCAGGACCGCGCACGCCAAGAATAATAATTTGAAGTTTTTATTCTTCTTCGGAAATTTCAGGGTTACCTTGTAATTTCAAGCCCCAGGCCAGCCCCATAATAATAATATTGCATCTAATTTTGTTTCAGAACGTATTGAGATTCTTGGGAAATTCGAAGGTAACCCTCGAATTTCCCCCCAAACCCAAGAAGAAGTAGCTAATCGATAGGGCTAAATGATAATCAGCGCCCCGTCATTGCCCTCTGCGTCCCCGTGGCAGCGAAGCCCTCGGAGGGCTCTCGTGTCCTCTCGCGTGCCCTCGCCAACCGAGCCCCCCACCGCATCAGTCTCGGCGCTCTGCGGCTGCCCACCCCGGCCGCTTCCCTCCGCGCTCGCCCCCCCCCCCCCCCGTCCAGCGCCCTGCGCGTCTTCCTGTCGAGGCAGCCTGCGGGCGCCGCGCGCCCTCCCCAGGACTGGCGCGCCTCCCCGGACTCCGGCGGCCGCGGCGAGGCGCCGCGGCGCGCCGCGCGGCGGGCCCCGCGGTGCAGCCGCGCGGGGCCTCTCACGGGCAGGACGCTGCCCTCCTCCTCCTCCTCCTCCTCCTCCCTCCTCTCCTCCTCCTCCTCCTCCTCCTCCTCCGCCTCCTCCTCCTCCTCCTCCTCCTCCTCCTCCTCCTCCTCCTCCTCCTCCTCCTCCTCCTCCTCCTCCTCCTCCTCCTCCTCCTCCTCCTCCTCCTCCTCCTCCTCCTCCCCCTCCCTCCTCCTCCTCCTCCTCCTCTCCTCCTCCTCCTCCTCCTCTCCTCCTCCTCCTCCTCCTCCTCCTCCTCCTCCTCCTACGGGGGGGGGGGCTCGGATGTCCGGGCCGCTCCCTCGACGCAGGTCGTGGAGCCTGTTTGTGGTCTAGGCTTGAGTCGGGCATATCCCTCTACAGCATGAACCCTCAAGGATAGTACAACGATTGTTTTGTGACGATCTGTCGTGCTCTCATGCTTTTTGTTTGATCGTTTTTATTGTTGATGGTTTTCTTACAGAATCCGCCTGTAGGAGGACATGCCCGCCACCGTACCTTGGTTTTGGGTCAGAGTCCTAATGGGTGCCTTTGGGGGTCTCGTCAGCGGGCTCTCGGAGGCCTTTTAAGGGCATGTGTGAAGCATCCTGGGTGCCTCTTAGGCGTCTTTGGGGCCTATCTGAGGTGGTGTTGGTGGTGGGCTGTGGTGGTGGTGGTCATGGTGGTTGTGGCGGTGGCGGTGGTGGTGGCGGTGGTGGCGGTGTGGTGGTTGGTGGTGGAGGTGGTTGTTGCGGTGGTTCTGGTGGCACATTGTGGTGGTGGCGGTGGTGGTGGGTTGTGGTAGTTTCTGGTGGTGGTGGCGGTAGTTGTGGTGGTGGTAGTGGTGGTGGCGGTGGTGGTGATGTGGGGGTTTGTCGTGGTGGTTGTGGTGGTGGTGGTTGTGGTGGTGGTGGGTTACGGTGGTGGTGGTGGTGGCGGTGGTGGTGGTTGTGGTGGTGGTGGTGTGGTTGGTTGTGGTTGTGGTGGTTGTGGTGGTGGGTGGTGTATTGGTTTGTGGTGATGGTGGTGGTTGTGATGGTAGTGGTGGTGTTGGTGGCGGTGGTGGGTTGTGGTGGTGGTGGTGGCGGTGGTGGTGACGTGGTGGTGTGGTGGTTTGTGGTGGTGGTGGTGGTGGTGATGGTGGTGGTGGTAGTGGTGGTAGTAGGTTGTGGAGGTGGTGCTGGTGGTGGTGTTGGTGGCGGTGGTGATGGTGGTGCGGTGGTTTGTGGTGGTGGTAGGTTGTGGTGGTGGTGGGGTGGTGGTTGTAGCTGTGGTGGTGGTGGTGGTGTGGTGGTTTGTGGTGGTGGTAGTTGCGTGGTAATGTGTGGTGGTGGTGGTGGTGGTGGATTATGGTGGTGGTGGTGGTGAGTTGTGGTGGTGGTAGTGATGGTGGTGGTGGTGGTGGTGGTGGTGTGGTGGATTGTGGTGGTGGTGGTGGTAGTGGTGGTGTGTTGTTGTGGTTTTGGTCGGGGTGAGTTGTGGTGGTGGTAGCGGTGGCTGTGGCGGTGGTGGTGTGGTGGTTTGTGGTGGTGGTGGTGGGTTGAGGTGGTGGTTGTGGTGGTAGTGGTGGTGGCGGTGGTGGTGTTGTTGTGGTTTGTGGTGGTTTGTGGTGGTTCTGGTGGTTGCGGTGGTGGTCTGTGGTGTTGGTGGTGGTGGTGGTGCTGGTGTTTGTGGTGGTGGTGGCTTGTGATGGTGGTGTGGTGGTTTGTGGTGGGTTGTGGTGGTGGTGGTGGTGTGGTGGTTTGTGGTGGTGGTGGTGGTGGGTTGTGGTGGTGAGTTGGTGGTGGTGGCGGTGGCGGAGGTGGTGGTGGTGGTGATGGTGGTGGTGGTGGTGTGCTGGTTTGTGGTGGTGGTGGTGGTTGTGGTCGGTTGTGGTGGGTTGTGGTGGTGATGGTGCTGGGGTTTGTGGTGGTGGTGGTGGTGCACTGGCTTGTACTGATGGTGGTGGTGGCGGTGGTAGTTGTGGCGGTGGTGGTCGCTGTAGTGGTGGTGAAGTGGTTTGTGGTGGTGGTTGTGGAAGTAGGTTGTGGTGGTGGTGGTGGGAAGGTGATAGTTGCGGTGGTGGTGGTGGTGGTGGTGTGGTGGTTTGTGGTGGTGGTGGTTTGTTGTTGTGGTTTGTGGTTTGTGGTGGTGGTGTGGTGGTTTGTGGTGGTGATGGTGGTTTGTGGTGGTGGTCTTGGAGATGGTTGTGGCGGTGGTGGTGGTGGTATGGTGGTTGTGGTGGTGGGTTGTGGTAGTGGTGGTGGGTTTTTGTGGTGGTGGCGTTGTGGGTTGTTGTGGTGGTTATGGTGGTGGATGTGGTGGTGGTGGTTGTGTGGTAGTTTGTGGTGGTGGTGGGTTGAGGTGGTGGTGGTAGTGGTTGTGGTGGTGGCGATGGTGGTGGCGTGGTGGTTTGTGGTGGTAGTGGTGGTGGTGGGCTGTGGCGTTGGTGGTGCTGGTGGTGCTGGTGCTGCTGTTGTTGGTGTTGGTGCTGGTGGTGGTGGTGTTGGGTGGTGGGTGGTGGTGGTGCTGGTGATGGTGGTTGTGGTGGTGTGGTGGGTCGTGGTGGTGGTGGTGGTGGGTTGTGGTGGTGGTGGTGGCGGTGGTGTTGGTTGTGGTGGTGGTGGTGATGGTGGTGGTGGTTGTTGTGGTTGGTGGTGGTGGGTTGTGGTGGTGGTGTGGTGGTTTGTGGTGATGGTGGTGGTTGTGATGGTGGTGGGTTGTGGTGGTTGTGGTGGTGGTGGTGGCGTGTGTGGTGGTGGTGGTGCGGTGGTTTGTGGTGGCGGTGGTGTGGCCTTCGGGCCTTCCCGCCACCGTGTCTTGGCTTTGGTCAGAGTTCTCTCATGGATGCCTCTCGAGGTCTTGTCAGAAGGGTCCCGGGGGCGTCTGAGGAGCATTTGCGAAGCCTCCTAGGCCTTCTGAGGGCCTCCCGGTGGATTTTGGAGCGCTAGGGCTCTATATGGCGATTTGTGTTTCTCCTCTGCGGCCTTGGGGGCCCTCTCTGGTCATCGTCGCTGCTTGCCCGCCGTCGGCGCTGCTGGCCGACGCCAGCGCCGGCGCCGGCACCAGGGGGGGGTTGGACCCCGGGGGTTGGGGGAGGATGTTGGGGGGAGGGGAGTCGCCCTGTTTCTGATCGACGGCTCCGAATGTTGTTGGAGGGCCCCCCCCCGTTTCGAAACGCGCCGCCGAATGTTCCTACGGCAAGCGCCCGTGAAACGCGCTCTCTCGAAGGTCAGCATCGTTGGCCTTATGCCACAGATGCCGTCTCCGTGGGGCCCCGCGCCATCCATGTCCCCACTTCGACGGGTCAGCCTGGTGGCGCCAAGAAGCCCTGGCCCCGCGGGGCTGGGGATAGTCAGGGGAGGAAAAGGCACCGATCCCGCTCCCCTTCCCTCGCTTTCGCCTTGTTGGGCCTCCTGGGAAGCCCTCGTCGCCGCGGCTGGGTTCGGGTCGAAGTCCTGGCCAGGCCGCACCATGGTGGAGGTCTTGGGAGTAGCGGTATCGGTACCATTTCGTTGTTCCAGATAGGTCTGGCGATGGTTCGGGAGGTCTCCAGAGGTCTTCGGAGGCCCGAGGATTGCCAGCGTGGGCCAGCGTGGGCCCCAGCGTTGTTGCGCTGTGGCTGTGCAGGCTCTGCGGTGCAAGCTCTGTGGCGCGAGCTACGTGGTGCAAGCTACGTGGTGCAGTCAATTTCTGCTCGCAGTGAGTTGTCCACTCCACTGCTCGCGCAAACATCCCACCCACCCACCCGCAACTTGGTTTGCAAAATCTCTGACGACCGCGACGGTGGGTACCACATGGCACTCGGCAACAACAGCGACGCCGACGACGACAGCGACAACGACGATGACGACGCCGCCGACAACGACTACGACGACACCGACGACGTCTCCAACGACTTCGACGACGCCGACAACGACGACGACACCGACGCCGACGACGACGACGATGACAACGACGACGACGATGACGACGCCGACGACGACGATAACGACGACGACGACGTCAACGACGACGACGACGACGACGACGACGACGACGCCGACGTCGACGACGACGAAGACGACAAAGACGCCGACGCCGACGACAACGAAGACGACGACGACGTCGCCAACGAAGACAATGAGGAAGGAGGGAGGAGGACGACGGCGACAACGACGACAACGACGAGGGAGGAGGGAGGACGGCGACGACGCGAACGACGAAGAAGGAGGAAGGACGGCGACGCCGACGACGGCAACGACGAGGGAGGAGGGAAGACGACGACCACAACGACGACGACGACGACGACGGCGACGAAATAGGAGGGACGACGACGAGACGCCGACGACGGACGACGACGACGACGAGGGAGGAGGAGGAAGGACGACCACGGCGACAACGAAGACGGAAACGACCACGACGCCAAAGAGGACGACGACGACGAACACGAGGAAAGACAGAGGACGACGTAGGCGACGACGACGACGACGACAACGACGCGGGAGGAGGGAGGACGGCGACGACGACGACGACGACGACGACGCAAGAGCGCGCGCGCACGCTTTTGTTGAAAGTCCGTGTTGCGAAAACTTGTGTTTTTGTAGGTTTTTTGGGCACACGATTTTGAAATCTTTCCGAAACCGATGGGTTTTGAAGGTTTTCGGCATCGCGCGCGACGACGCGCGCGTTTGCACTTCGTCTCATTTTTAGCAGGGGATTCTCGCGACGGCACACGCGCAAGGGCGTTCGACAGATTTCGACATGAGCGCGCGCGAAGCCCGTTTGGTAGCATTTTGTTAAAATCTTGGAAACCTATGGTTTTCTTAAGATTTCGCAAGAGCTTTCGCGGAAGCTGTTTTAGCAACTCTGTGTTGCGAAACCCTGTGTTTTTGTATGTGTTTTGGAACCTCGATTGCGAAATCCTTCCCGCACCGAAGGTTTTTGAAGGATTTCGGCATGCGCGCGCGACGACGCGCGCGTGTGCACTTCGTCTCGTTTTTTGCAAGGGATTCGTGAAAAAGTGTTATGTTCGAGCAAAAATGTCACCGCATTGTGTTTTTTACAAGGGAGCCTCAGGGGGGGGGAAACCGGCCTAGCTGGGATGGTATGATTTCATATTAGGATGGACGAGTGTGCAGAAAATATATGAAACCGTACTATCCCAGGGGGAACCGATAAGTCCGGGGGGGGGGTAGAGTCTATTTTTTTTTAGAAAGGAGAGTCTACGTGGTGCACGCTAGAGGCGGCAACGAGGCACAGCGGGCAGCAACGTGGCTAGAATTTCGCCGAACCCGTCCAGCGCACAAGGCGGCAACTGGCGGCAACCTGGCGAACCCTCGCCAAACCAATTCGGCCCTCCAGTAACCGAAGGAAGAACCTTTCAGTACAACACTGTTTTGGGAAGAACGTCGAACATACTCGATCGCCGTTGCGACGATGCGACGATACACGATTGATCGTCGACAGCTTGCCAAAGCAGAAGAGCAGAGCAACAAACCGGAAGAGCAGAAGAGCGTTGCGATGTTTCTACGACTTGCAGTACACGTGTCTTGCTGTGATCCCTTGTCAGGAAATCGCAGGATTGGGAGAGCCGTCCTGAGGGGCAGCAGGTCTCTCGATCTGCTTGGTTGGCGCGTGAGAAAAAAAAAAAAAAAAAAAAAAAAAAAAAAAAAAAAAAAAAAAAAAACACGGAGAACATAACACACATCGTCGATCACCGATCCTCCGAGTTCGACCCGCAGGCCGTGGGCCAGCCGGAGATCTGGCGCAACCCCCTGGGTGGCGCGCAGCAGCGGCGCGTGGAGCTCCGCGCCGAGGGGAGGAGGGCCGAGGCCGCCGAGAGGTCTTTTTGCCGCCGCTGCCCTTGGGCACGCTCGGCGATCAACACAGAAATCATAAACATAAATCTTTCGTCTGGAGGATCGAAATGGGTACGGAGAGGATGGGTACGAAGGCTACAGGCAAATCCTGCACATTTGGAGCAGGACTCGCTGTCGGTGTCGCCGCGGAGCGTGTCCATTCGAGACAGGGGGCCGCCGCGCCGCCTGCCCAGCAGCGGTCGCTGTCGGTTTTGGACAGCTATTTTTTTGGGGCACCGGACCCATTTTTCCGTTCCCATTTTGGGCGTCTTAATTTCGGAGCTCCACGCCGATTTTTGGGATCGGCGCTAGGGCCACCCTGGCGGCGCCTCCAGCGCCGATCCAAGAGATCCGCGCGGAGCTCCGCCGGTTCATGTCAATTCCCGTTCCGCTAGATCCAGTTTGGGGGTCTTCCCCCAGCAACGTGTGCCCCCCATAGGCAGATCCTAGTTCTGACCCTGGGGGACTCTGCCCAATAGCGGCCCATTCGTAGGTACGGCAGTTTGTTCAGTGGTGATACAGTCGAAACCGATAGTAAGGATGGGTCACCTTCCCAATGGTACCCTTGCATCCTTGCCTCTTTGGTCCATCCTTAACAACTTCCGATGGCCCGCCGCGCTCGAAAAAGTTTCAACCCGGGCGTCCAAGGGGCTTGCCTTGCTGCCTTGTCGTGCTTCTCTCAGTATCAGGTTTGACTGCAATAACCCTCCCCTCGTCTCAAGATTTGCTAAAATGAGGCTCAGCGTGACGATTCACGGCCAGTGCAGAGAGGCCGTCGCGGCGGGTCGCTCCAGAAGATGTGCCATTATCTGAAGGGCGTCGCCCTCTGCCGCCGGTCCCCTCTCTATCAGAGCTGCGTCGGGGTGGCTGGGTGCCACTTTGAAGACATCTGGGAACATCATGCGGGGTGGATAGGAGTCAGCAAAACACATCGAGATGTTGAGGCTATGATGAAACACTTTCTGTTGGGGCGTCCCCCTCATGCTACACATTAGCGTCCCTCTCGGTACGACTGGGAACTGCTTGTGGCCATCTGGGTGCTGGGGGCGCGAATTTGGCGCATTTTGCAAGGGCATCTGGCTTCGGGCGCGCGAATCACGCGTAATGTACACAGGATTGTGACCTTGGGAGCGCGAGCCTGGCGCGATCTACTTGGAATTCTGGTGCCGGGAGCGCGAACCAGGCGTAATTTGCAGAGGATTCTGGCCTTTAGAGCGCGACGCTAGCGCAGTCTACCAAAAGACAACAGCTGGCCTCGGGGGCGCGACCCTGGCGTAATTTACAAGGAGCAATGGCCCCGTCAGCGCACGTCGTAATGTACACAGGGTTCTAGCTTTGGGAGCGCCACTCTGGCGTAGTCTAAAACAGACTCTGGCTTCTGAAGTGCTATCTGGCCCAACTTACCTGGGATGCTGGCCTTGGGAGCGCGAATCTGGCGTAATGTGCAAAGGATTCTGGCCTCGGCATCTTGAAGTTGGGGTAACTTGCGGGAGATTCTGGCCTCCAGAATGTGATTCCGGCTTGATTTACGAAGGAACGTTGCCCTGGGGGCGTGAATATCATGTATTTCTACGCGTGTCATACAAGACATTCAAGCAACATGGGCGGTTTGTGTCCCCCCTCTAGCGCGGACAGCAACAGTTTACAGTAGGAAGCAGGAAGCAGAGCTATAGTATTGGAAACTTGAAACTGGGATCAGTGCAGGGCGCAGGAAACCTCAGCCGCGCAGCCTGGTGGCCCCACAAGGGGACCAGAGGATTCGTCTTCTCTTACCTCTGTCATTCCCCTCTTGCTCCTCCTGCTCCTCAGGCGGGCATGATCACATAGCATTAGATAGGTCCGCATTGCAACGCCAGGGAGCGGTCTGACGCGCGCTAAACGCTTGAAGTTCAATTGGGCGAGCCCACAAATGGTCTGGTCGCGATCCAGAGGAGACCACATATGGCCACGCCCAGAATGCATGGATCATGCCGATAAGACATGGAGGAGCTCCTACTCCTCCTGCTCCGCCTCCTCATCCTCCTCCCTCCACCTCCTCTTTTCCTCCCCTCTTCCTCTTCCCTGCTCCCTCCTCCTTCCTCCCCACCCTCCTCCCTTCCCATCCCTACTACATCTTCCTCCCTCCTCCAAAATTCCTCCTCTCTGCTCCGTCCTGCCTCATCTTTCCACCTGCATCCTACTCCCTCCTCAGCCGCATCGTCCCTTCTTCTTTTCCTCATCCCTCCTTCTCCGCTCTCCTCCATCCACCTCCTTCCGCCTCCTCCTTCCCCACCATCGCCCTCCCGCGTGCTAGCGTAAGTTGGTGGAGGAGGGGGGATCGCCCCCGTGACTCATCCCTCAACCCCCCAACCCCCCGGCCGGATTTCTTTTCTTCTTTCCGCGGGGGGTCAACCTTCGCGGCGACCCGTTAAACCCGGGACCCCTGGCGGCGCATGGATTTCTTTCCTTCTTCCCCGCGCGCGTTGCCGTTGGAACCCCTGAACCCCTCCGACTACCGTACAACTCGTACTTGAGTACAACTGGTACTATCATGTCCTATCGCGCAGTTGTTCCTAGAGAGCACGTTGTCCTGCCGTGCAAATATTCGAGTGCAGCTGGTATCATATTACAGCTGGTAAAATTGTGCCCCCTAGAACAACGCCCTATCGCCAATCCCCAGTTACGCTTTTCTTCCTCTGGTTGCGCTTGGGGGGGTGGGACCCCTCGCGCGGGCACCCCCGCGGCTGGGAGTTCATTCCTCTTCCGGAATTTGAGGGGGGGGTAACCCCCGTGCTCGAACCCCATCGCCAGGGTTTTTTTCTTTCCTCCGCGGAAACCGGACCCCCTGGGTTCTTCGGCGCGCCCCATTTTTTTTTCTTTCCGGTTGGGCCTCCATGGGTCTTAGGTTGGAGTCACCCGGGTGATGAGGGGGGGGGAAGGATGATGATGATGATCATGATGTTGTTGATGATGATGATGATGATGATGGTGATGGTGACGAGAATGATGATGGTGGTGATGCTGATGCTGATTATGATGCTGATGCTGATGATGAGGATAAGGATTATGATGAGGATGAGGATGATGATGAGGATGAGGATGGGGATAAGGATGATGGTGGTGGTGGTGATGATAATACTGAGTGTGCTCATGATTATCCAAATATGCTCGCCCTATAGGAGTTTTATAACTCAAGCCCTACTACTTGGTTCGTTCCCCCCCTAATTCCTATGCCCCCCTAATTCCTATGGCCATGCCTATGCCTATGCTTATGCTCCCCCCCATAACTCCTATGTCTACGCCTATGCCTATGCACCACCTTTGAGCGCTCTATGCCTATGCCTATGCCTATGCCTATGCACCATCTGCACTTGATCGCTGGCTCTTGCTTACTTGTTATTTCTCGCTTGCGCTTGCTTGCTTCCGCTTGCTAGCTTGCGCTTGCTTGATATTGCTCTTCCCGTCCTCCTGCCGTCCTCCTCCCATCCTCCTTTCGTCGTCCTCCTGTCCGCCTATATATTTGGCGTCAACGCTGGTTGATATGAAGAGGAGGACGATGATGATGAGGAGGAGGAAAACGAGGATAAGGATGATGATGAAGACGGTGGCGATGACGATGGCGATGACGATAATTGTGATGAGTATGATGATGATGACGATGATCATGGTGATGATGCTATTGATGATGACGATGATGATGCTGATATGGTGCTAATGATGATGTTGTTGTTAGGAAGCAAGGGTCACCTGCCCCGCAGGAGAACCAGGCCAGATCCACTAACTAAGAACTGGGAGAGCCCGGGCACCCAGGCAACGAGGAGGGGACGGAGGAAGAGGAACGCAAAGGAGGGGGCCTGTAAGAGAGCGGCTCACGCCATCGCCATCATACTGTCGTACCCCGGCACCGGTATCAAGATCTCCCTGCCCATCTTGCTGGTGCTACGGCTGATGAAGACAATCGGAACCACGATGAAGATTGTTAGTAGCCCTCCCCATGTAGGGTGGAGGCTGCAAGGTGACGGGCACGGGTAGTGGTACCGGTGCGCCATGGGCCCAGCAGCGCAACTCCCTGCGCCAGGGTCGTGCATTGAATTCATCCGTTGGGAGGTCGGAGTCGGTGGGGTAGGAGCTGGAGTCGGGGCCAGCGTCGGAGCAGGAGTCGGAGCTGGAATGGAGGTGCGACTGCTCGGCACGGGTGGTGGTAGTGGAAGGGGCGCCGCTGGCGTCTGCGCTGGCGTAGGCGCCGGTGGTGGCGCTGGCGTCGTAGCTGGGGAGTCGGAACTGGGGATAGAAGTGGTGGGTGGCGCACACGTTATCCCATGTGGTGGGATAAGACGCTGGGAGCAGGGTTTATTCGATCGCGGGTCAAGTGCAGGTCTAGGCGCTGGCATCGACGTCGGGTTAGGCGTTGGCATTGGTGCTGGCGTCGGTGTTGGCGTCTGTGCTGGTGTAGACGTTGGCGTCGGTGAAGGCATAGGCACAAGCGTGGGTCACTTGTCCTCCTCCTCCTCCCCCTCCTCCTCTTCGCGTGGCGCTACACTGTCCTGCTCACCTTGTTGTGTCGACGACGGAGTGGACGCGGAAATCTGCAGTCCAGCTTCCCCGCTTCCCCGCCGAGGTAGGGTTCACTCTGGCGCGAAGAGGCGAATGGTGGTTCGACGTTCTTGGGATGTCAAAAAAAAATAAAAATGATGATGTTGTTGTTGGTGGTGGTGGTGGTGGTGATGTTGTTGTTGATGATGATGATGCCGCTGGTGGTGGTGTTGGTGATGCTGATGTTTATGTTTGTGCTCATGTTGAGGAGGAGGAGGAGGAGGAGGAAGAGGAAAAAGAGGAGGAGGAGGACGATGAGAACGAGGACGAGGAGGAGGAGGAGGGATCAAGGAGGGGGAGGGGAGAGGGAGGGATGGAGGGAAAAGTAGCACTGGGCGGAAGGAAGCTCGGACGTCTGCAGCCTGCCCTCTTGCGGCTGGAGTTGATTTAGTCATCTTCCCGTGCCCACTTC